TGTGAAAGAAGTAACTCGAAGACTTGTCATATATACTATTATTGTCAAACAGAGTCGGCATTCTCGCCCTATTGACATTTGCTATTACATCGAAAAGAAAAAGAAAAGAAAGAAATATCAACTTATGAAGGTCTTAACTCTTAAATCAATTTCCATATTTTCTTCGTCTCTATTAGATGCGTTCAGTGAGAATCTCTGATCTCTATGGTAAAGTTTGTTTTCATACCTGATCATAGCATTACTCCTGTCACTGTTTGCATTTGTTCTCTGTCGACAACAATTAACAATGCTTATGTCCGTTAACACGATGGTTAGCTCAGCGATGTGGATGCTACATCAAGGCAATGTCCATCCTTGTGTAGGTACATCTTCATTTGTACATCTTCCTGTTTTCTTATTCGCGCTGAGAAGTTCTCAAACATTCGGATTCCTTTCAAAATTGTGAATCAAGATGAAAATGCCTCAAAATCAAGCTTATGTCATTCTATTTCTCAATCTTCTAATTTGAGGTGAGAGGCCATTTTCGATCGAGATCTCAAAGGTTTCAAATCGATCTAGTGCTTAATACCTTGATGGAGATGGGTGGAGCTTGGAATTTTATTCCTTTTTCATGACTCCTGTGACAACAAACCTTGACGTTTCATTAGTAACCTAGTCGACACGTAAACTAGTCTTAATTGTCTAAAAAGTTTCGTTGATTGGCGTAGGTGCTAATTAAGGTTAGATGTTGTTTCAATTGAAAGATCCTTCTATTGTAAGTACATTCACTTGCATCATTGTATTTATAAAAGCCCTGGAAGTTTTTTTTGTTTTTGTTTTAAATATGTTGTGGTCGCAATCATGTGATTGTATGGATGTGCCTATTTTATTGAAAGAGTAAAGTCATAACCCCCACCGAGTTGCTGAAATATTTCTATTTTGTTGGTTATGGATTAAACCTTTGACCTTCCAAAGTCACAAGCAAAGCGTTCTGCAAAAGATGCAAGCTCCTCACCTGCCACGCATTAGGGTACCATAAATTGTGGGAGGTGCTGATATATATAAAATGAATTTTATGGTATAATTATCTGCAAATTTATTTTGAATGATCTTTGATAACTAAAGAGCAGAAGTCTTCTTTTTAAGTAGACGAATATGTCGTTATAATCGTGCGTGGGCGTCGCCGATTCTCTCTTGATATATAAAATGATAGTATCGAGTGCAATTGTTGGAGATACGATAATAATTAAATTAGAAAAATTCTTCAATGACCCAAAATATAGGACCAATAGAGGGGACAAGTGAGGTGTCTCCCTCCTATTGGATAATGAGTTGGCCATCATTAATGATAGCCAACTCATTATCCAATAGGAGGGAGACACCTCACTTGTCCCTTCTAGTGGTCCCATATTTTGGGTCCCTGTAGCAAAGCTCATTAAATTACTACGTGCAATTAAGATTTATACACTATAACGTTTCGAGTGATGACCATTAATAAAACTTGAGGAAGTCAACTATTTGTCATCAAAGTCTAAAGTTCTGATGTCAATAATGAAGCTTACATGAGTCGTTTGACTTGCTGATCCCGCTGATCTGCTGCATTAATCTCAAAGACTACTAGGTAGAAGGGAGTCTCACGTGAGAATGTTGAGGGGCCCGCACAGGAGAAACACCACACGTGAGATTCCCTGGTCCCGGCGTCCACATGTGACTTGCCCACCTGTCACTGGCCAGGTAAGCGGAACTGTGGCAGCGTGAAACTCAGCCAGCTACGGGCCGATTTCCCAAAATTAGATCCACCTTTCACTACTGCACCGGGGCCCGCTGCCCAACGGCCCAGTTTCCGATCTCAACCCCGCTCAATTCCCGGTTCATTTACTATCAAAATATGGGTGGGCCCGCTATAAAACGGTATGGATTCTCGAAAATACGGGTTCTCAATTTTAGCTTATTAGTGTAAATTCTATGTAAAATTAGAAAAATTCTTTAAGTACCCAAAATATGGGACCAATAAAGGGGACAAGTGAGGTGTTCCCCTCCTATTGGATAGTGAGTTGGCCATCATTAATGATGGCCACCTCAATCCAATAGGAGGGGGACAGCTCACTTGTCCCCTTTATTGGTCCCATATTTTGGGTCACTGTAGCAAAACTCGTAAAATTAATATGTACACTAATAAAGATCAATGTTATTAATTAAGTAAGACATTGAATTTAAAGAAATGGCAAACAAAGAGTAAAAAGTTCTAGCTGTAAGACTCAGAACATCCCGCTATTACAAGAGACTTTATGAGAGAGTGTCTATTCCGGAAAGGATAAGTTGTACATAATCTCCGTCATCTGTACTTTCGGTTACACTTAACACCCCAGACCCTTGTTTGCGAGCACCCAACACTTCTTGATTGGCGCTTTTAGAAAGATAAATAGTAAGTGGCATCCCTCTTATTCTAGAGTTGAAGAAGGCTAAGTTAAGTACTAATAATTAAGGCGAAGGGTGTTTAGCGCAATTGGAGGTGGTACAAACCGGGGGGTTTTCTGCAATTTAGCCTCCTAGAAAATCAGCACAATCATCAAATGATAGGAGACGCGTACAAACCTCTACCGTATGGATTTCCCTCCATTTATTAAACGGGTGATGGGTGCTACGATCACGGCACGGACCAGCGTGACCCATCCACTTGCATTTTAATTTTTTTTTTTTTTCATTATTCTATCAATTGTTTGAAGGAAAATGAAAAATGAGTTAACATAGGAGAGCCCCTTTCTCCTCAACCACCACCAGAATCTACATCCCAAAATGTGCCAACCCTAGAGACCCACCCCTAAAAGTCATGGGTTTCTGTGCCCTTTTTATTTTATTTTATTATATTATGTTGTATGCTGTATGGCATCGTTTTCCCACTGCACTCGATCAGTCTGTGATTTGATGAGACTGGTGGGGGGGTTGTGTTGGGTGCAGTTGCAGCAGTAGCGAGCAGCTACTCCCAGCTCCAACAATGCCCACAGGGCCACTGCTACATAGCCAGATCTTATAAGTTACGCTGCATCTGATTCAGATTTTAGCCCATACAGTTCACTCTCCTTCCATCAATCATCATTATCATGACATGATTCATCCAGTGAAAGCTAAAACATCAGCAATATGTGTCAGAGGGGAAAATCAATTCATTTTGGGATTCCTTGGTTTCTAATTTGAGATTCGTTTAATTTGAGATTCGTACTAGCATGTGATTTACAAGGACGAGCATATATATTGTCCTGAATATGGTCATATTAATTAAAAGGGTGTTGCTATTGGGACCTCAGATAGGGGACCCAAGAAGGACAAGTGAGGTGTCCCTCCTAAATACATGAACAGTACATCATGCGTTCAATGAGAGCACCTCACATGTCACTAATTGGGTCTCCTATTTGGGGTCCCTGATCGAGGAATTTTCGTATTAAAAAACGGTGTTTACATATGAATATTTTTATATGCAAATCTCGAAGCAAAATTGATAGATGAAAGAGTTAATGTACGTACATGTGTTTTTATCCATTTAGGCTTATCCGCTTATGCATATTCATATATTCTTCTTTTACTCACAATATATCTAGTTCTTAAATAATTTATGCAGGAGATATGGCGGAGGTGAATTGCATCTTAAGAGTTCAAATTCATATTATTGAAATATTTTTAAATAGTTAAATTTGTTTTTTTTTTCACTGTGATGAATAAAATACAACTGCTATTGCAGCTGCAGCAGAGCTTGTATATAACTGATATTTAGCATATTTGAATGTAAATAGCAGCTACAATATATGTTCTTGGGCCTCAAATTAGGTTTGAAGTTGCTGCACCAATTGCAACTAGCCTTTGAAATAAATTCAGGAGAATAATATTTGGATATTACAAAGTAAATACATGCAACTATAATTACAAATACAAATTGCTTAAGTTAATATAATAACTCTAGCTGATATTGCAAATAGCTCTAGCAGATATTGCAAATTGCTTAAGGTAATAGAATTACAAATATAATAATTATAACTGTATTGCAAATAGCCGATGCGTGTATCGCAACTACAGCTGCAGAGTGAACTATATATATAATCCCTACTTATTAGTGAGGGAAATGCAAGAAATTATGAATGTGAAAATTCTCGAATATATATTCAATATTGTAGAATCTTATTTTGAGACTGAAATTCTTATCTGTTTTAAATCGCTTAATAAGTTAATATAACGCCTCTAGCAGAGCAAAATTCAAAAACGATGGTTATCCGTGCACATGATCTCATACTTTCAGCACATAAAAAAAAAAGAGATCTCGTTTTATAATTGACACCAATAATTTACAAGTGCACTAACATCATACCTGCTGCTGATGGTGCCTATTACTAACATTATTATTACTGCTGCTGCTGCTAGTACTATCGCCGGCGTTAACACCGAACTGATGATGATGAATTCTACTACTGACGGTAACATTGCTCTCCGGCGCCTCCACGTCATGCGCCATCAGCCCTCCGCCCTCCACGCCGACGCCGAGATCAACGGCCGCGCTGTGCCACCCTAGGCGTCAAGCACCCGTCGACCTCATCGACGCAGTACCCTCACCTGAGGAAAAAGCGTCAGCAGCAACTCGCGCTGCTTGAAACGCGTTCGACCCGAGATGAATCGGCCTCAACCCGGCCCGGCTCAGTCTCGCCTGCCACTTCGCCAGCGGCCTCGTGCGCGCGGACGCGGTTCGATCCGTCGCCGCAGACGATATGCGCAAATCTCTCTCTGTAGGTAGACTTCGGCCGCGCTATTGACTGTGTGCTGCTGCTGGCTCCGGCGCCCTCGAGCGAGTCGAAGACGGTGGAGTAGTAGAAGGAGAGCTTCGGTAACCTGGTCCAGAAATACGGGCTTGTTGTGGTCGGCCTGCTGCTCGACGACTGTCACGATCATTCGGCTTCAGGCCGGCGATCCAGCCCAGGACGGGCTCGATCGGCCGCCACGTCAGCGTCGGCGAGGGCTTGTGCAGCTGCATGACGGAATTGATGGCGACGGCCTCGCGGCGGTGACCTGGAGCATCCAGGGCTTGACGTCGTCGAGGCGGTTGGCTGCGACGCCGCGGAAAGCGAAGCGCACGTGGACGGAGCGAGCGAGCTCGCGAGGCGGAGGCCGACCTCGCAGCAGGGGTCGGCGCGTCGGGGAGGGGGCCCGATGCGGTGAGGCGGAGAAGGGGGCCGCCGGGGCGGAGGGCGAGGGCCTGGATGAGGGCCGGCCACTGGAGGCCGTGCATGAGGTTGAAGTCGATGACGTGGACGCAGTCGTGGCCGTCGAAGGCCTCGGGATGGCTTGGTTGGCGGTGAAGTGGGAACTTGAGGTAGGGGCAGCCTCGTAGAAGTGGTGGTAGAGGATCTCGAAGTCCGACTGGGAGGGCCGGGGATCTGGGGAGGAGTAGACCGACGGCTGAGGGTCGACGAAGCAACCGGCGACCTTCCCGATGCCGGAAGGAGGTGCCGACGCGGTCAGGAGGGGGCGCATCTCGTCGAGGATGAGGAGGGGCGCAGGCCCGGTCCCGCGCTGGACGGAGTCGGCGCAGGTCATGAGGAGGTGGACCAGCCGGATTCCGTGTCCTCCTCGTCCTCCAGCTGGACGATCGGGAGCTGAGCGGCGCCCCTTGCGGGGCCCACTGGAGGAGAGGCGGAGGCGGAGGAGGCGAGCGGAGGAGGGGGATGGGGGCCGGCTCGGGGCTGGGAGGCGGGAGAGCTCGCGAGAGCATGGAGTCGACCCAGGAGGTGAGGCTCGGGAGGCGGTTGTAGTGGGGCCCGGAGAGGAGGGGGTCGGGGCGGTGGCGGGGCCAGGGAGTCTAGGAGCTCAGGCCGTGGGCCACGTGGCGGAGGTCGGAGGAGCGGACGCGGTAGCGGCGGCCGGCTAGGAGGTCGTCGAGTCGGTGCGAGTCGGCGGAGGAGTTGGACCGACCCGAATGGGTATGTGCCGATCATCTTTTTTCTTGCTATTCTTTGTTATTTGATTTTTTTGGTGGAGAGGAGAGAAGAAAGGGAAGGAGGAGAGCGGAGCGGGGGAGGAAGAGGGAGCGGTGTCGGTCTGTGAATTAGAGTGAGGCGGGTGGGCTGGGGAGTGACGTCAGCTTGAAAAGGATGTTACACGTGGCTTGTGCCCAGGCGGCACGTAAGCAGGGAGGATGTTTTTTATTTTCTCCTTCTTATTCTATTTTGCAGAGGTGCCTTCTTGCGGGTGGGAATTGAGTTTGGCGAAGTTTCGTTGTTTGCCATTTTCTAGAATTTGCTATCGGTTACTCATTTAAAGTGCGGATTTTTTTTTTTAAATAGACTGATTTTACTAAATATTTAGTGAAATCGATTATTTTTAACCAACAAGCTAAAAAGAAGTCGATTTTAAAAAACACCTCCCAGAAAACATACGAGACTACTAGTCCCGTATGTTTTTAATGTGCTAATCACGGAATAGTGCTTTCAGAAAACATACGAGACTACTAATTTTGTATGTTTTTAGCTGAGCGTTTTTCAAAATCGATATCTTTTTGGCCTGTTGGCCAAAAGAGGTCGATTTTGCTAAATATTTAGCAAAATGGTCGATTTTGCTAAATATTTAACAAAATCAGTCTATTTTATAAAAAAAATCCTTAAAATACACGAAGTAGCTTGATTGAGTATTGTCTCAATAAATTTATTACAAAAAGAAGGGTTTTCTTTTTTACTTCTGCCCCAGAAATCACCTTTAAAATAGCATAGTTATAAAAAACTAATTTTTATTTTAATTCATTTATAAACCATCTTAAAAGGGGTTTTCTTGCAATAAATCACCTTCTACACAGAATTTTCACTAAAATTTGGAAATTATCCTTAAAGTACACATTCAAAACATGTGACTCATTTTTTTACTGTTTATGTCTTGTTAGGATGCAACTAATGTTTATTGAATTTTTAAGCATTGTTTTTTAATTTTTAAGTGAAAATTGTCTAGGATGTGATTGATTGCAATAAAAACTCCATTTTAAATGCGGCTTATATATAAATTAAAATTGAAAGGTGATTTTCGTATAGTCACCGTTATTTTGAAGATGGTTTCAAGAAAAAACACCAAAAATAATGCTGTTTTTTTTTTTGGAGGGGGAGGGGGGTCGGTTTTGATATCTGAGATTTAGGAGGGGTTGTGTGCAATAGTTCAAAGTTAAGGGGGTTTTCTCATGTTTAGGGGGTGTTTGGTTACATTTCTATAAATTATAGGAAATGTTTTCCATCCCAAATTTGATTTCCTTGTATTTCTTAAAAAATTATAGGAAAAGTTTTGAGAAGTTAAAAAGTACAAATTTTCTTATTTTTTGTATTTTGCTTGTTTGGTTCAAAACAAGAAAATGAGAAATAACTTTTGGGAAAATAGCAACATTTCCTATAATTTATAGAAATGTAACCAAACACCACCAACTTTATAGAAAAGTGAGAACTTTGTAGAAAAGAGTTAATGAGTTTTATTATTTAAATAATGAATGCGTTAGATTTTCAAGAGATTTCCTCCCAATTTAGAAGAAAATCAATTTCCATAAAATTTGGTACTTTTGGACACTTTACAGAAAACATTTCTGTAAATTTTTTTGGAGCCAAACACAGTTTACGTAAATGTATAGAAAACTCTTAATTACATAAATGCCATGCATCAGTACTTTTGAGAAAACATTTCTTAAAAACAATGCAACCAAACACCAGCTTAGTCTATCACCAACTTATTAAAATTCGTCTTCAAAACTCGAGTGGCAGTGAAGATAGTAACACATTGGTAGATTGTTACCTCTCTTTTCACATTCTAAACAGTGACGGAGAATTCAAAACGGAGTGCCATCTCCCATATCGTTGGGCCCCATGCTGAGTCACTTTTAGGGCACATTCTCTCACGTCCTTTTCACGTCAAGTAAAATAAAAAAAATTATATTTAGAAACCCCTAGGGGACCTGATCGCGATCAGGTAGGTAGTGGGCCCACGAAACGTCGCATTCACCGGAGAAGGCAATGTCCCCATCGCTGCCGCCCGGCCCAGCCCGCTCGTGACGGAGACGGTAACCGGGGCCCACTCTCTGATGAGATGAGGGTGGTGAACAGGGCCATCTGGACCTCTCGTGATAATGATAAGGCCGGGTCTGGATCCGATTTCGACAGGCCGGCGCCTAAACCGGATCAGACCGGACCCACTGCTGGTCCATGTCAGCCACCGGTTGCCCACCGGTCCCTTGTTCTAACCTTTCGAGCGCTCTCTTTTTCTTTTGGCCAAAATAGCACTTAACTACATTGTGATTTCGCTCATTTTGCACTCGTATATACTCGCTTGATTTTCGTGACATTTATATACTCTAAAATTTTAAAATTGGTATATTAGTATTCTTTATTGTGCAGACATGTAAATTTTCGTCTAAATAGTCTGCTCATATGACAATTAGAACCAATTAGTATGTGAGTGTCATATTGCAATATTCAAGTGAAAATTTTCACTTTTGCATAATAGAGAATACTAATGTGTCAATTTTAAAACAATTAGGATATATAGATATGATATATCATGAAAAATAAGTGAGGATATAGATGTCCAAAGTGCTATTAGACTTTTCTTTGTTAATATAATTCGTTAGTAGAAAATCAAGCAATCTAGACGGATTAATCTAGATGGAGTTTTTTTTGTCTAGCTTGCAGTAACCTAGACGGAAAATATACCGTCTAGGCTAATCCGTCTAGGTTGCATCTGTTGGATTTTTTGGTCAAAACTACTTATCAAAATAATCGAGGCTTGCCAACGGCAAGCCGAGAAGTGTTTTATTTGAATTAATCCCTCATAAGTTCTAGTGGGTCATGAGTCATGGGTCCTGGGTCAATAGGCCGGGGATCAGGACTAATCGGGCTAAGACGCTAAGTGGCGCTTTGTTAGGAGCACTTTGCACTTCGCACGGAGGCTGCTTCGCAGCATGCGGACGAGCTGTGTATTCGCACGAGGGTGACCCTAGCGTTCTCGTAGTTTGACAAAGTTCGCTCGTTCGACGAAGTTCATCTGTCATACGAGGTTCGCCTGTTTGACGAGGTTCGCTCGATCGACGAGGTTCGTATGTCATATACGAGGTTCGTCTGTTTGACTATGTTCGCTCGTTCGACGAGTTTCGTCTGTCATACGAGGTTCACCTATTTGACAATGTTCGTTTGTCAAACGAGGTTTGTCTGATCTTCTGAGTCGTGACCCTCGCGTTTCGTAGCAATGCGTCCATTGATTGCCTCGTATTCAGGAGTTAATGCATGCAGCGGTTACAACAGCATTAAGAGCAATTTAATGCATTGATGTTACAAACTTAATTGCCATTAAGAATTGTAACAATCACATTAATTGCTTGTGACTCTTGAGCTGGCCTTAGAGGCCTATAAATAGCGCCCTTGGGCAGCTCTTGGTTGTAAGCTAAAAATCCTCTCGCGTGCGTGGAACACGAACGTTGCGTGCTGGAAAAAGAACGTTGATCCCGACATTGTTGCTATTGTGCTGCTGCTGCAGGAACTTGTGTCCACAAGAACTTATCTTAAACCGAAATATTTTGAACCGTAAGGTTTTGAGATCGATGAGATCTTTTGCCTTGACCGAAAGGTCTTATAGATCGAGGAGATCTTAACAGTACTGTGTTGGTGCACACCAGAGTACTGTACTGCTGTTCCTAGAAGTAGTTTGGCCTTGGGATCTTTACACCGGAGTAGGCCAAATATTGCTTTAAGCACAGCGTTTCTATAACGCACAGTAGTGAACTAAAAAATTAGAAATTACAGAACATCTGTTTTCTCAGTTTAATTCCAGATTTAACCATAATTTCCAATAATCTTAAAGAAATATTTTAGATCTACTAATGGATCCTGCGATGATTCTTGGAGTGGACTGTCTTAAGTTAGAAAACTTTGATGGATCTAACTTTAACGCATGGCGTCGAAAAGTGTGGACTGTCTTAAGTTAGAAAACTTTGATGGATCTAACTTTAACGCATGGCGTCGAAAAGTGATTTTTGGGATGCAACTCCTAAAAATCTACTATGGCGTCGAAAAGTGATTTTTGGGATGCAACTCCTAAAAATCTACTATGTGGTTTCTGAGGAGAAACCTAACTTTGAAGAAGACTCAGAGTCTTGGGATAAAGATGATCATTTCTGTAGGAGTTATCTCCTTAACTGTTTGGCTGATCATCTAGCAGATGCTTACACCAACAAGTCGTCTGCAAAGGAAATCTGGAATGCTCTGGAGGAGCAATATAAGGATGAGGAGAAGCTTTCCAAGTCTTACCTCATTGACAAATTTCTGGACTTTAAGTTTGAAGATGACACCGAGGTTTTGCCTCAAGTCAAAGAACTCGAAAAACTTGTTATGAAGCTGAAGGATGAAAAGATCGGTCTTTATCAAACCTTCATTTCTGGTGCAATTATCAACAAGCTTCCTTCATCTTGGATGTCGTTCTCTACAGACATTCGAAGAAGGAAAAGACAATTGACTCTGTCTGATTTGAAGAGGTTTATTCGGATCGAGGACGAGATTCGAACTCGCACAAAGAATGAGCTC